CTCATTAAACAAACGATCAAATCGATGATATTTTTTTAACATTGTTCTTCTAAGTATTTTGTCAATGAATTGTACATAATCAATGAAAGATATTCGAATATTGTTTCATTCTATAAGTCAAACAAACCTTTATTTTGTTGTTTAATTCTTTTAAAAAAATCTTCTTGTAAACCAAATTTAGTTTGTACTAAAAATGTTTGACATTGTTGAATATTTTCATCTAATTTTAATGAATCATAATTTCCTAAAACATTTAATTGATCAACACCACCAAGAAACCAATCACCAAATTCAATATCTTATATTTAAATATTCAATATTATAAATTCTATTTCATAAATAAATTTAACATACTTTTACTAAGTTTTAACTGTATTAATTCCATTGTAGCTCGTGCATCTTCTGTTGGATCATGTTCAAGACGAGTTTTTTGTATTAAACATCTAGAAAACAAAAAGAGAAAACGATTGTGTTTTATTAATTTCATATAAAAAAAAACAATTTAACCCAAAAAAAATGGCATAAAGTTTTTGTAAACTTGTTTTTTCTAATCTTGTCCCAGTAACATTATAAATAATTGATGTATCAATAATATATGGATAATATATTTGTAAATATTTAAGATCATTTTCAATACTATGTCCAGCTAATATTAAATCATCATCAAATAATATTTTAAGATCTTCATGAACTTGTTCTAAACTTCTTTCATTTATATTTGGAACAATTTCAAGAACTTGTTCACGACTAAATAAATAAATAAATAAATAAATTTATTTATATAAAAATAAACTAAAAACCGTTGTTGATAATTTTCCATATGTTGATTATCATTTGTTTTGATCAATGTTTGATAAATACAATTTAATTCTTCATCAACAATTGATATCCAATAAGGAACTTGTCGATTATTAATCATATCAGAAAACTAAAACAAAAAAATTTCTTTTTTTTTTAAAGTATTTTTTCAAAATAAGAAATAAATTAACGAACTGTTTCAACATCTAATGCAAATATTCTACTTGAAGATGTTATTGGTTTATATGAAGATTTAATTTCTTTAAAATTTTTAAATTGATTATATATTGGACATGGATAATTTCCAATAAGTAATTGTTTTAAATTTAAAACTAAATTTACACGAGAAAATTGATCTTCACAATATTTTTTAAAATGTTTTATTGAATTTTTATTATCATCTTCTAATGAACGTTTTTTATTACTTAATTGTTCAGCTTTACTTTTTAATAATAAACGATCTAAAAATAATTAATTGATAAAGAGGACAATAAAAAAAAAGAATTTTTTTTCTGATTTTAAAAGTTTCAAACCTTGTGATTGATTTGTAGATTTTGTTGTTGCTGCTATTTTACTAAATTGTTCAATAAATGGAATATTCTTTTGAGTATGAAAACGAAATGTATGACAAACATTATCCTAAATAAAATAAATCATATTAATTTCACAACTATGGAAGTACGATCTTTCTCCAATACGAGTGAATTTCCTAAGAACTTACTAGAGGAAATGTAATCAGTAGTTTTAGAAATGATATATCTATTTTAAGATCGAGACATTATAATAATGATGAACCAAAATGTTATTATCATTAGTTTTATTTTAATCAAACTACACCAAGATCTTATTACATTTAAGAAAAATACACAAATATATATTCTTTTGACATTAATGGTGTGCAATTTGAACGCATTACAAATTCACTTTAAGAAAACATTCATTGAATAGGAACTGATCTAACTAGCACTAACAAGTATTTCAGATCAAGATCATTTAAGATGCATAAAGAGGGAGTGTGAGGGATAGATATGGATACTCCCTTCACCGACATCCTCATGGAACCGTTATATCATAACAACAAGTTTATTGAAATATAATATATAGACACGAATCGGTTAGCAATTACATTCTATAAATCTATGTAATTATCCGACAACACATATAAGTATAAAACGAAAAGAAAAATCCACTTGGTTATTTCATCTTCCAAAAACATAAACTGCAATGTCATTGTTTCTAGATTCTGTTCACTGATTAAAATTGGATATTCAATTTGATACAAAACTGATATAATTGAATGCATTATTTCGTTGAGATTTTAATCAAATCAAAATTATCAACATTTGATTGATAAAGTTTAATTTAATAATCAATCTTATTATCGCTGTTTGAATATTCTATTTATCTATTATATTATTCGATCATTTGTATCTAATACGCGCTTTATCATCAACTCATGGCTACATATATATCCAGTCTGAAATAGTTTTAAATTAAATGTTATGTAGAATCAAGTGAAAAACATTACAGTCAATTTCGATGCTATGCTCAGTTAATCAGGTATCTGCCAAATAAGTAAAGTATATTCAAAGCTGTACTTCATTGTTGTTCAGTGTATTCTAAGGATATATCAAAGATATTCTCGAGATCTTCTTTACTATTTCAACTCTTCTATGAACATATGTTATAATTATATCAGTTTAATTACATTTTATATTATAGTTAGCTAATATTCAAATATTGAAGTGCAATGACATATATAGGCTTTGTTACCAGACAGATTTAAACAAAACGATACCCTTGAAATATGCTGAAGTACGAAATTTTTACTTTTTCTCTCTTGGTATCCTAATAAATCATCATCTTCTTATTACTGAATTATAGTTTTTTAATAATGTAATAAACCTATTCATGTTCTCGAATTATTAATGTAATCCATACTCTTTCTCATATATTTCCTCAATACTAACGTTGTTTATTATGTATATATGAGATAGATGTCAATGAAGTAATGTATAATCAACATCAATACCATATTACTCGTTCACTTTTCTATTACGTATTAAAATAATAAAATAGATTTAACTATCCTCACATAATCATCGAACCAAATGACATTACAATGTATCGATATTTACACATAGTCAAATGAAATCTTTTTTTTGATGATTATTTGATATAATATTTTTAATGAAGAAAGTATGAAACTGTTTTGCTATAGTTCTAATTAGATTTAAAAATATTCTGTTCTGTTCTATAATAAAATGAATAGATCATTTTTTGATAAATGTTTTACCGAAGTGAATAATTGTTTCCATTGTTGAAAAAGTTCAGTATCTTTTAATTGATTATAATTGTCATCTGTTACACCATTCACAACAACAATAAGAATTTGTTGAAGTTTTTGAACACGTAAAATTTTACACCAACTACATAAAAATAAACGCATAAATAATATTAATGAAAAAAATGAATTTAAAAATTTTTAACCTAGCACTATAAGCTCGTGGACATTTATCAATACAACTAAGTAATAATGTTTGAATACTTTTAACAGTTAAAATAACTTGATTTGTTTCATTATCATCATTTGATGATAATACTTGATTTGAAGTTATTAAAAATTTTGGTTTATTCTAAATTAATAAATGTAAATCATAATTTAGAGCATATGTTATTATAAACTTACTCCTTTAAGTTTTCGTCGTGCATTTATTGCAAGAACAAATTGACGTTCAAATTCAGGCGAAGGATTTTCAATTATATTCATTAATCGTTTTCATGAAATTATGAGAAAAAAAATGAAAATGTTTGATTCATCAATCGATGAAAATAATAAACGAATAGAAATCAAATAAGATTTTAATGAAGATTTTATCTTACAAAAACTATAAGAAAAGTTATCTTTGTTTAGATTGTAATTATTGTTTTAAAAATTAATCAATTTTTTCAACAATAATATTTCAATAGATGGCGCTTCTTTCTTGTTACTGAATGAATTTATTTTTGATAAAAATTAAGAGTTTATTCCAGATATTAAACATAATAATTATGATTTCAACATCTAACAGTGGTTTATTCATAAATAAATCTTTCATTTTTCTTATTTCAAGATGAAAAAAAAAACAACGTCGAAAATTAACTCATTATCTTCATAAGAAAACCCATAGATGTTTCTTTTTTTGTTTTGTCCTTTTATTCTAATCTTATCTTTCATTTATATAATAATAAAAATATCTGAAAGAAAAACTTAAACTTTAAAAAAAGTATGTTTACATATTCTAAATAAAACAATTATATTCATAGTATTTTTATCATTATACACTAGTACTTTTAACACGTGTATAATCTCTGGTTTTTCTTTTTGGTCAAATTATACAATACAAGAGATTGAACATAGTTCTTACATAAAATAGATAAGTATGTCTCTATGTATATGTTACGGTCAAAATTGGAATCTGGTCAAGTTCTAAATTTGTCCGGACAAAATTAGAATTTTATTTTGATGAATTATAAAACTAAGCAAAAACCAATACCAAAACACAAATGAGATGAAGGATGATAATGAGAGTCAGGAAGAAGGTTTTGAATGAGAGTGCCGCAGATAGCCTTGATGAGAGTGAAAAATTTCTTAGTAAGGATGAATTTTTGAGTAAGTCTAAGACTTTACGCGATTATCCCCTCTAATTTCACTCGCAATCTCGGGATATAGACCTAGCCCTTCTCACTCTTACTCAGATCTGTCTCTCATCTTCACCATCATTTTTGATTCCATTTGTATTCGTATTGCTGTTTTTTTCTCAGTTTTACAGTTCATGAAAATAAAATTCGAATTTTGTCTGGTCAAAATTAGAATTCCAATTTGGTCTGAACAGATTTAGAATATGACTGAATTCCAATTTTGACCGTAACATATACATAAAAATCAGAAAATCATAATTATTATATCCATGTAGTACGAAGCTAAACAATGGACTGTGCGTTCATAGGTTAATGATGGAAAAAATAGTTTTTTTGAATTAAGATATTTTTCAAAACATTGATATTATTCTAGTAAAAGTTCTCTCATCATGTCTCATGATGTTTGTAAATAATAGTGCGAGAAAAAGAAAACGAAAAGAAGGTTTTTTTTTGTATAAATAATGATAAGACATTGTTTCTTTTTTCTTCTTTTTCTAGTGAGTCGACCGGATTCAATCGAGATGGCGTCGTCTAGTGCACCAACATCACCACCTATTATTCTTGTTCCAACTGACAATTTAACAGCAATTAATAGCGGACCTGCTGTTACTGTGAAATCTTTAACAGAATCAAGTAAAAGTGTTAGTTTCAATGAATTATTTTACTCAAATTTAGATGCATTGAAAAGAGAAGCTAAAGCATTAGTTACATTTCATCCATCTGAATGGATCAATGCATTTAGACCCAATCCGAAATTTCCATTATTTGTTCTTGGTGATATCGATGGATTTGTCGCTTTATTTATGAATAATTTAGCAACATTATTAGCTGTTATACTTAGCCTTAAAATTGTATTTGAAGATGATATTATTTATGGAAAAATTGTTCCTGGGTAAAATCAACAAAAAAAAAGAAGTTTATTCAAAATAGAATAATTCTTTTTGTTTTTAGTGTATCATTATCTATGTTATGGGGAAATTTATATTATGTATATATGGCAAGAAAACTTGCTTATAAAGAAAATCGTGGTGATGTATGTACAATGCCATATGGTATTAATACACCGGGAGCATGTAAAATTTATTTATTATCAATTAAAAAAGAAAACAATATCTTTCTTTTTTTTGTTTTTGTTTATTTTTAGTTGCCTTTGTTTTTGGTATAATAGCACCAACTTATCGTGCATGTATAAATGGTAAGAGTGGTCGTGATAGACGATCATGTGAAGAATTAGCATGGTATGTGGCATTAGCAAGTAATTTTACAACGGGAATTATTCTTCTTGTATTATGTGTTGTTGGCGAATTTATTAGAAAAAATACACCTGGTGTTGCACTTCTTTCATCAATATCAGGCATTGGTTTTACTTATTTAGCATTAAATGAATATTTACCTGTAGCTGCATCACCTATTGTATCTTTTCTACCATTTGCAATTGTTATGCTTGGTTATTTTTCTGGAGGTAAATTTATTTAAAAAAAAAAACAAACTTTATTAAAATTTGAATATTTAAAATTTTAGTAAAATTTGGTCCTGTTCCAGTTGCATTTGTTGCTCTTGTTGTTGGTACTATTCTTGGATGGTCAACACAATTAAATCAGGCTGTAGATGTACGAAATGCTACATATATTGTTAAACCATATCCATTAGCATTTCCAATTACAGCAATGTTTTCACATATAGGTGAAATTACTCCATATTTATCAACAACAATTCCAACAGCTATATCAATTGCCATTGGAACAATACAATGTGTTGAATCAGCTAAAAGAGCTGGAGATTTTTATCCAACACGTGAAGCTATGTTTGCTGATGGAGTTGGAACATTAATTGCAAGTTTTTTCGGATCAATTCTTGGGATGACAAGTAAGAAATACATTTTAGTTAGGAAAATAAACTAATTTTAAAATTGTTTAATAGAACAAATTTTGACTACGCAGTTTTTTCCTTGATGTCTTATCAATGTTTTATCATTTTTTCGACCTAAATATGATGTAAACATATCTTAAACAAGGACATTTATTTGTATGCTTTGTTCTTTGATATGTTTAATTGTGCTCGTTTAAAAATACAAACATAGAAAATATTATTATTTGAAATAATTAACAAAAATTAATTATATGAAATTTTTAAAAATATATATTTGAGAAATGTATATAATTCTCATTTAGCATTCATTGGTCATCCAGCATTTAAAAAGATGGGTGCTAAACAAGCTTATTCAATAGCTAATGGCATTGCTTTTTTACCATTATGTTTTTTTGGCATAAATGCTCTACTACTTTCAATAATTGCTATTGTTTCAGTTAATCCAATTATTGTAAATATAATGTTTAAATGTAAATATTATTTTTGAAAAAAAAAATTAAATATAAATTTAGATATTTATTGGTCTTGTTATTTGTGCTGATACTCTTGCAATAACACCTCCACGTCATTATCCAGCATTTCTTCTTGGTCTTATGCCAATTGTAGCTGATTGGGCTGAACGTACAATAATAGGTGGTGTTTCAGGTGCTTATACAAATTTTGTTACAAATGATACTACCTTTGATCAAAATATCACTGCACAAATATCTGGGTTTTCATATAGTGGTCTTTTAAATTTTGCTGGTGGAAGTCTTCTTCAATGTATATTTATAACAGCTATTTTCATGTATATGATTGATAGAAAATTTATACACGCAGCTGTATGGAGTTTATTAGCTGGATTTTTTGCTTTTTTCGGTTTAATCAATGCTCCAGGTGTTGGAGTTTTAATAAAACATACAGATGATGGATGGAAATTTACTGTTGCTTATGTAATGATGGCAGTTTTATTTGGTTGTTTTGAATTCGCTCAACGACACCATTGGGTTAAAAAACCTGAAACAGAGCCAGATGATTTATCATCACTTGAATGGGCTGAATGGAATCGACTAAGATTATTAGAAGAAGAAAATGCAAGTGAAGGAAATGTTTAACATAAAAAAGACACAAAGAACATTGCCTTATTTTAATTGTTATTGTTATTTTGAAATTTTTGTGTGCAAGAAAAAAAAAATATTTAATTCATAGAAAAATAAATTAGAATGAAAAATCATTTCATTATGAATTTTATGATAGTTATAAACAAAAAAAAAGAGTTTCTGTTAAGACCTTCACGATTGAAAAGGTGTAATTGGATAGGTTTCTTATGTATTTGTCTGGGGGGCTTCGTAGTATGTCATTTGATCTTCTCTATTTTTAAAAAAATTTGACTCATTTTTACCTCATTTTATTTTCTTCGATTGAGAAAAAAAAAACGAGAGAACTTCAACAATGACTTAATGATTTGCGTTTCTTTTTTTTTCTTTCTTTTCTTTTAAATTAGTAGTCGTTTTTGATTATTTTTTTCGACGTTATTATTCTCGTTCGATCTCCTGCTGTGATGACAACAAGTAGAATACCGTCAGATTATTATGCATCTGATGAATTCACATATAAAAATAATACACATGGTGTTATTACAAATAAAACAAGAAAGGGAAGTTATAACATTGTTGAAAAAGATTATGGTGATCATAAAGTTATTTATCATATTCCAATTGAATATGGTGATGATTATGATATATCAGAACTTGAAAATATGCCAACTGTTGCACAAGAACAACCACCACCACCACCACAACCACAACGTAGTTCACCAAAATTAATTCGACGTCGAATTATTCATCAATATAGGGATTTTGATAATGACAATGATTATGATTATGTTGAAGAAATGCCAATGGTACCACCTCGTGAACAGGTATATTTTTCACCAAGACGACAAAGAGATATACAAGTTGTAGATCGTACTTATCAAGCACAACCAGCACCAGAAACAATAGAATATGTTTATGAAGATGATTATTCAGATGATCTTGATTATATACCAGAAAATGAAGAACCAGTCGAATATGTTGTAAGAGAACGTGTACCAAGACAAAGAGTAAGATTAAATAAATATATTCGATTATTTATTATATCAATTATGAACAAATATTTATATCAATAATAACTACCTTTTTTTTTCTATTTCAGTATATGGAAGAACCCCGACCTATTCGACGTCTAGTTTATACCCAAGATCCTTCTATACCTCTTTCATCTTCAAGAATTACCCCACCAACTTTTTCTCCTCCTTCACCTGTTCATTCTCCCTATCAACCAACTCCTCGTTCGGTTGTTTCTCAAAAATCACCAACACAAGTTTCTGCCAAACCAATTCGTCGCAATGAAATATCTCCACCACCATCATCTAGAAAACAACAAACTGCTCGATCACCACCAATATCTGAATCATCAATAAAAGTAAATACTCCAAGACCTAATGAACCACCTTTACGTTTAATGGATATTATTGCACAAAATCGAGCAAAACGAGGTACACGTATACCTAAACCAAGATGTGAAGTTGACGAAGAAAAAGTTTATGATCCACCAACGTATAATAGAAACATTATTAAAAATGGTTTTATTGTTCATAAATAGACATACAAAAATACAAAAGAAAACTAATAAATTAATCTATTGATGATAAACAATTTTCATTTTCAATAATCTGTATTAAATAAAATAATTAAAATGCATTCATGTTTTTTTTGTCACTATTGTTTTCAAAAGTTTCTTTATTATTGTGCTATTTTGTTTTTGATTTTACTCATCAGTCGTTAGTAAAGAAGAGAAATATTTGATCTATATATGTTATATGATTGATAGAATATAAGGATAACCATAGTTGTCAAAAACTTCATAAATAAGATAATACACATGACAGTTTATTCGTAGTTTTAGATCAAAATGACAAATTCATACTTATTTTTAATGGGCAATAAAATTGTTCATTAAAAATCTTTTGACTAGCCTTAAGTAAAAGATAAACAATCGATAGAATATTGTTCATGAAAATGAACTATAAGTTTAATTTATTCGAAATAGAACAATGATCATTCATGCCATCAATGAATAAACTTAATAGACAAATATTGATAATTTTAGTTCATTTTGAAGTTGCTAACAACCAACGTCACTGAATGCATATCCTGAACCCCAGTTCTGCACATGCAGAAAAATGATAATCTTTTGTGAGGACGCAAGACTGGCAGGGTAATATATAAATCCTACAGGGCATTCAAATCATCTGATTGATTGTGATTCAATGAAGTTATAGTTGATTAGTGAAACACGTCGTGATTTTTCATTATTATCAATAGTAGCCAGAAGAGTAAATGCCATACTCGCGGCTAAGGCTTCTGTGAAAAATTTATTTAGCTCAGCCCAATGGACATTTACTCAAAAACGAACGCGTTTATTACCAAGTCAAATCAATAATCATATTATTTATGTATTCATACAAGAAACTAAGGAAGCACTAAGGAAAAGAAAATCTATCCTTTCTTGCAGCCCATCTGTTCATATTGATACAATATTGAATTCTGTGTTTTTATGCTTATATATTATCATTATTTTATTCAGCTTACGAATGTCAATTATTTACTTTGTTGTTGATTATATTTCTGTTGAAAAACATGTGATAAGATTTATTAACATGATAATAGAGTAAATAATTTTTCTATAAATAGTATGCCTATGATATTATATTTCGTATCTCATATACAGACAAGCTTTTAGCCTTGTCAAAAATATAATAAAACGATGGTCCTGCAAGATGTAACCTGCCAGAACGAAAAAAAAAACAGTCTTGTGTGACTTTTTCTCTAGCCGTTAACTTTGAAGACCAAATTTCTGTGTATCAGATATTGCAATAAATACGTCAACAAGAATAGTCTCACTTGAAAAAATGCTAGATTTAGTTATACATCTAATCCGATGAAAATGAAAAATTTTTGTTAGTGATATACATATGTTCGTAAGTGCTCTTAGTTTCTGGAATAATTGCACTATAAGTGAATGATGATTCCTATAGAAATTGGATAGTTAATATTATGTTTAAATGAAAATAAACTTTATAAAATGTAGCTATCATAAACATATGAAACATATTTTAAATTAAATTCTAATATAGAATTATGATCTTGTAAGTAAAAACTATCGAAAACAAAAAAAAAAAATATTTGTCATTGATAAGTTTATTTCGATCAAATTTCTGTTCGTCTTATATTTCTTTAAAACAAATTAAAAATGATTCATTTCTTCTTGTAGACATAAGATAAATATGTTGTCCTATGAAAACAATTTTATATATTTGTATTAATTGGAGCACCAACTACAATCATTATATTCACATTCTAATCAATGATGTCAACGTTTATTTTCTTTTCTTTTTTGCTATTACTACATTGATTATATGAAAGATAATTTTTTTAATGTGATTTCTAGTGTGGATATTAGACGAGATAACAACGGTCATACAAATAAAATCGTCAGTAATTACAATGGTAAAAGTTTTATTTTCCATTGTTAGATTCCTTTTGTATATGGCTCAAGCTATAATTAATCTGCGAGATTTTTTTATTTTTGATGTTTTTTAAATCTTGAATAAACATAAAAGAAATCGATATAGAACTTTTTTTAAGCATATAATGAAATGTTGTTGATAAATCAATAATGAATAAAATATATTTTCAAATAGAATCTGTTAGAAATAATGTACAGCAATCAATAAAATTTTTCGATGAATTCAAATTAAAACACATTCAGAAATAGTTTTTCAATATTATATCACTAATCAAAGAGAAGACAATGAAGTATTTTGAAAGAAAAACATGTGAAAAAAAATAATAAGTAGAATTTATTGATAATGATATTCTATGATAACATAAGGCTTTATGCTAAAACCTCTGATAAGAAGTTTAACAACTGATTCATTGATACTTCGATATCATTTGTTTATATTCATAGTTATTAAAGAAAATATTTACATTAAAGACTATAAAATAATGGCATTCACCTCAAGAGCACTCACGTCTGAGAAAAATTCAATCTAAAATAAAAACTATGCTTGATCTTGTTATTGATTTCGTATTTAATTTCTTACTACATTTTTGATATTATGCCTTGTCTTGAATATCTTTTCAAAAGAGATACGAAAAATTTTTGTCATCGATGAAGTGAATGTGAGAAAAACACTCATACTTCAACGGATATTATTAATATTACGTACTTATTTTCAATGCAATTCTGAAAAAAAATGACTATTTCACGTTTCTTACAGGCCAGCATAACATTTTTTTTTAAAATAATATTATAAATCATGCTTTTTTTTAGAATCAATTTTAAGAGAAAGATGTCTAGCATACAGTCATTTCCAGGTCTAGAATCCCTAAACGAATCCCTGAGGGGTCTCCCACTCATCCTCCGTCTCTGGTGAAATCTCTGTCATGATTCCCTAGGGACTTCAAGTAGATTTTATAATGAGATTTTACTAGGGATGGATATTATGATAAGAACGTCGTGTACGATCGTTTGTAGTCATCGTAAGTCTCATGGTATATTCCTGAGGAGTCTCTGGCAGATCCTTAGGAATTCCCTAGCAAATCCTCAGGAACCTCCACATCAATTCCTGGGGACTTCTTGACTCCTTCGTAAATCCGTAGAGAACCCCTGTTGGAATTCCCCAGGGAATTTTGACACGGATTCGTTTAGGGATTCTCGACTGAGGTTTCTGTATTCCACTCATTTAAATTTCATAGATGTATCTATAAAACCTACAGATTTTCCAATAGAAAAAGCTTCGAATATATCTCAAAATTATAGTATACTTTATGATACAACGTTTTATAAGTTAGAATTAACATCCAAGTGACAATCAAAGCTTCCTAAAATGACATTTTACGGTCTTCCATAGTCATCAAACTTGAAATAAAATGTTGATCCTAAATTTATTAATTTTTTTAATTTTTTTTGCTTATAGGATGATACTATACTAAGTTGAAGTAAAACTTCGATTCTAAAATAAAACTTAAGTTGTAATACAATAGCATTTCACGTTTTATTTATT